CCAGTCACGCCGGTTCAACCGCCTCGCAAATCGTCCACCAGTGGCTCCACGCCTCGGAGGACTCTGACGGATGAGGACCGTCGGCGAATGTGTCTCTATCATGAAGAACACAAGACGGCTAAACAGACTGACATTGGAGGTAAGAGCTGCTTCTTTGTTGCGCAACAATGAACGAGTGAGACTGACGGAACCATAAACAGCCTTATTTGGAGTAGAGAGGAGGTACAGTATACCAATCTTTTCATTTCGATCCTGTTGTTGTACGGCATGTGGGTAACATCCATTCTAACGCTTGCTTTTACGTCCCAAAGTACTGTTTCCAAGGTGCTTCGTCAGAAGGAGAAGTATCTTAATCCAGACGAAGGAAGTCGGTCTCCGATTAAGCGAGCCAAGGGACGAGTTCCCGACATTGAAAAGGCTCTATCGAATTGGGTGAGGAACTACCAAAAGCAGGGTTACCCGCTGAGCGATGAAATGATCAGAGAAAAGGCTCTGTTCTTCGCAAGCACTTGTGGCAGTCCAGACGGCAAAGAAAAGGTCCTCACCCAAAGCTGGTTGGAAAAGTTCAAGCTGAAGAACAACCTGATGGGCGCGAAGTCTCGGAAGGGCTCATTTGCGAAAAGCGATTCAGAAAGCCCTACACGTTTGACTATCGATTCTGCTCTAGCTTCTGCTGTGCAGTCCCCTACTGTGCTTTCTCCCACATCACCCACCGGGTTTGCATCGCCGTCACCGTTGTCTCCCATCATGAGCCCAGAACACATGCGCAAGGAGCTTGCAAAAAGCCTAGATGAGCTTGCTGAGGAGTATCAGCACAAACACGCGAAAAGCACCACCTCGCTCGATACGACTTGCTCGCTTTCTGCCAGTGTGACTAGCCCCACGTCCACATTGGTATCGGACAGTCCATTCACACCTGTCAGTCAGTCGCGCGGATCGCTCGCAGACGGCCAGTCGAATAGGCCACGAAGCCAGACGCTTCCAACAGGCACCCTCGAACCATCCTTGATGTCTACAGAAGAATCCTCCGATCATTCGCTCTCTAAAGCGGCTTTGCAGCAGTCATTGTCTATCACGACCCTCGAGTCACCTCTCGAGGACGAGCACACCTCGAAGAAGGGCCCCGGTCTCGATACATCATCCAATACCATCAAGCGCAATCGCAGCAATCCTGAGATCAAGGCAAAGTCCATGTACCCGCCTTCCTTTTCCAAATCAACAACCGTGTCACCAATTAGTTCCCCGGGGTCTCCAACGCAGGATGAGGCACGAAGAGCTCTTGAGCTTGTGGTGTCCTATTTCGAGCACCAGCCAACGGGACTCGGCGCACAGGAATTCGTAACCATTGGGAAATTGATGGAGAGACTCGAGCTCGCCAGGGCCCAGCAAACTGCTCTCCCGGGCGGTCTGGCGCGCATTGATGAACTTGAAGATGTTCCTCAACTGACCAAGAAACGAAGCATTCACAACCTGGGTTAAGCCGGGGTTTCGAAATGGAGACGCTGACGAGAGCTCCCACTTGGCGACATGCTACATGCCAAAATTTCGCAATCAAATTCAGCTGTCGTCACCTCATTTTCCTATTCTTGAATTTTTACCTTCTCCCGCCATGACCGATCTTCCCCCATCTTCGAATTATATCCCTTTTGTTTTCCTGGGCGGCCGTTTTGTTTTCGAGCTTTGCACTACCCATGTCATATTCAAACGATTTGTTTCATTAAGGGCTCGACAGCTGTCGGGCTGTGAGAAAAGCTAACGGATGATACACTTATACGAGAGGGCAACCTCAGCTTCTACAACAATGAATGCGGAGAGCACTGGGAATGCTCTATTTATGGACCAACAGCATGGATACGGTGAACAGGACGGCTACCTACAGAGCTGGAGCTGGTAAAATCTGGATATAATCATTTCTCGGTTATTTCTTTCGCCTTGCATTTTTGCGACTTCTCATTTCCTACATTATTATCCACACTTAAACTTGATCGCTCACGCGGGCTTGCATTTGACTCCCATCGTTCCTACTTCTCACTTCATTTCATCATACTCTATCAGTTTCCTGGGTTTCGGTTGGTACAGGACAGGGCTAATACTTGGGCGACAAGGAACGGAACCTTGTAAGGTCATCCACAGGTCATGGATTGTTTGTCATTTCTCTTGCATGTCTACTGCCTCCACGTCACTTTATCCACCTATCCTTATCGTTATTGATTTTATTTCTTGCAATTTCAGTGGGTTTCGATACCCCTAGGTTGTCCCTGTCAAATGACAGGTACGGTACCTTACTTTATCTATTGCGAGCAGTGGATTTGGTGCCTTACCTTGCCACGCCTCGTCTGCTTCCCCGCTGGCAACGCCACAATGCTGGTTGTTCCATACTTTATCTTCTTCAATATGGACAAGGGCCCATCGGCCTATCGGCTCATTCTACTCCGTAGGTCCTGCTGTTTTGCAACTAGCTTGCATGGACTGGCTGCTGAGAGAAGCTAAGCCTCGAGTCGTACAGAATATGGTATCTTTAATATGATTAGTATAATTACGCTGCAAAGAGTTACAGTACAACAGTGGTATTGATATGTTGGCACAGTCAGGCCGTCGAGTATGGGGAGGGAAAAATGAAAAGGTCTATGCCTCTGGAACTTGATCTGTGGCAAAGGCGATACCCCTGTCTTCCATGAGCTCCGCTATACTGTGGCCCGATAGCTCGGGGAGAAGCTTCGCGAGAACCGTTTCAATGATGGAGTAGGTTAAATGTTTGTTGCAGTACTCGTCAGCGAAAAGGTCCAAAATATCACGCTCAATTGCTTGCAAGATGAGAGTCTCTTCAGTATCGTTGGGTGGAGTGGGTACAGGCGAAGATGATCGGGAGGGCGGCTGCTGCGAGTCATCTCCCGTCGAGCCGTTAAGGGCGGTCGGGCCAGAGGTATTATCTGCAACACCAAAGAAAACCCGGGCGACTGGCCGAGGCACTAGGGACAGAATGCGTCTCGCGCATTCTCGCTTGATGGCAGCAATTTCTGGCGCAGAGGGCCCCTGGTTCTGAGCTAAGGACGGCGTTGGCGCAGAGGCAAGAGGTGTCGGCGTCGTCCTGTCAGCATTGCCAGGGGTTGTTGTATCACCAGTAGGGCCTTGCTGTGTGGGCGTAGGAGGCCGCACGGACAATTGCGGAGGCTGCGGAGCCGGAGCCGATAATCGATTTACATCTGCCCCTTGGCTTGGACGGGCATTTGATGGGAATAGCGCTGCCCTGGATGCGCGAAGCAAGTTGGGCAACAAGGTGGGGGTGAGAATATGGTCCTGAATGCTCTCGTGAAGGAACCTGGATGGAGAATAGCCCGAAAAATTTTTCGGTCAGGGGTTAGCACTCATCAGACATGCAAATGAGAAAAAGAAAGATGAGGAATCAGGGATCGGATTGTGTAGGCGGAAAAAGCGCAGAGGGCCTCGAGAAAGCAGCGGTAAACCCCAGACTGTGGAAAGGCGGTCGTATTCAATCCGGGTCTTTCCTTCAGACAGCCTCAAAAAGGGAAAAGTAAGTGGATGTCAATCAAGTCGAAAGTAACCATTTGTAAGGTTGCATGAGTGGAGAGCTAATAAGATCGCATTGACTAGGGCCCGCAAATGGTAGCAGAGGAGCTTGGGCCAGTTATTGGAGCCAGCCTCAATGCTGAAGATGACGAAAATCTGATGGGAGAATGGAAGGAGACCAGATCGCCATTTGTTGATGTGTATCATTCAGAGAAAAGACGGCAAGGCAGGCGTTTCCAGAGCGGAAGTTACAGGCATGTTTAAACCCAACCAACCCCAAAGCCACAGTGACCTCGGCCGGGATTAATGAGATTTGAAATACTGCTGGAGAGTATTGCACTGATTGGCCCTGAGAGGAAAAAGAAAAGGGGGTTGGCCTCGCCCTATCCATGCAAAAGTCCAAACGTTGCATGGCAGTTTAATCAACACTGTCAAAGATCGTCACAAATCATGTTGCGTATCGTGCCTCTTGGCGTTCAGTTGGAGAACGCAAGGCTTGACGTGCACCCAATTACTGCAGGGATATTGGATTAATTCGAAAATTGGGGTTGTTCCAGCGACACCATGGCAACGCTGCGGTCCAAATCGGCAAGAAGGATTCTTCTTTCTTGTATACTTTTTTCCGCTTCGGTTTTCTTCCTCTTCGACCGTGTAGTGACGACCCCTTTAACCAGGCATCGGATTTGCACGGAACGACTCGAAGTTGAGCGGCACGGAAAGGGCCGGCCCAGGCCATCTCTCAACTACCAAAGCCATGACAGTGCGTAGTGGATAGAATGGACGTGAGATTGACAGGGGAAGTCAAATTCGACACACGTTCGGCCACTCCGAGCCAGTCACCAATCGGGGAGAAGGAGGATCACCAGGTCCCAGGATGATGACCGCCATGTAAGCCCGGAAAAGCAAAAGCCCATGCCTGATGATGGCATTCTTTTCAAGATCGGAAACTTGATTCTCCTCATTTGTATGATTGGAGGACATTGAAAGGCGATTACGACCATAGGCTCATTCATAGGAAATTGGTCGGTCGGTAATGACAATACGGTATCGTAAGAAACCCATACGCGCCGGTCACCGTTTGTAATGACAATACGGCCAGACATGGATGATGGAGGTCGTCAATCGCAGGGCCCATGCGGTAGAGGAGCCGGCGAAACCACCAGTAGCGGATCAAGTGACCGATGCAATATGCGAGCAATGCAACTCCATTACTCCACTGCATCCTTCATCCCGCTGGGGCCCTCGAGACTTGAAACGCTCTGCCGATGGAGGAGACGCCAACGTAGATCATGTTCGAAGATCGGACTGGCACCTCTTGTCCACAGTCCACAGTCCACACCCACTCTTCTAGAGCGCAAAAATCGTAATGGCACGGTTCTCTTGACTGAAAGCTCTCGCCCTCATAGCTGCTGATGATGAACGGCACATGGGGAAGAGTGGGAAGTATGTAAAAGCTAATGAGATTGCTTTACTCACCTGTCAAGGACACTGCCGGTCTCGCCCAATTTGCCCGGTCCCGCCAAAGTCAAATATTGGAAAAGCGAGAGAGATCCTGCCAGCCATGGCATTCTCCGAGGAATGTCCAGCATTTGCGAAACCATACTATAGATTCGATAATTGAGAATAGGGCGCTTCGTCGATGTGCCACCCATGGGAGCCAATTTCCCGCTCTCGGAATTTCCTGGCGTTGTAGCAGCTGACGAAACATTCGCTTTGGCATTTGTCATCACGCGAAAAAGTCCCGTCACGATGAATTGAAGAGCAGTATATGTCAGATACAGATATTGCAGGATATTCCATAGCCATGCTTGTCCAAAAGAGCGAATCTGTGAAGACGATTGGTCCGACTTGGGATCATCGTTGACATTGAGCAGGCCGAATCTGTGTAGGCGATCCTGCTGGTGACTATCTGCCGTGTTCTCCTCACGTTCGTCAAGTCGTTCTGCTGTCGATAGGAGCTTGGTGGTAGTCTCCCACAAGAACCATCCCTGACACATCTTTTCGCTGACTGCGTTCCCAAGTATCAAATCTGCTAGTATGTCACCGATAATGGTCCGTAGAGGGGCATTTTCCAAATCCTCCGTCGGGAGTAGAATAGCCAACATTCCATGGACCAGCAACTGCCGGTATATTGCCTCGTTCTCGCGTTGTTTCGCAATAGTCCGCATATCCGAGGAATCTGGGATTGGTGAAAGACTCGGATGTGGATGTAAGGCATGGTATGTCTCGCGAACAGAGGGAGAGAGTCCGGATAGTGTACTTTCATCGCGGGCCAGCCTGTACGCTACAAAGTAATTTCGCGCGTGAGTATAGAAGACCGGCCAGCTGCCATAGGGGGATATCTCACATATTATATGCGCCTCTATTAGACCAGGAATCTCATCCAAGATCAACTGTGCAATGTCAGTTTCACGCAACCTCTGCTCAAGAGCACGAGTACAGTGCGCGATCACTTGAATGACTTCCTTGACGAGGTTCTGATCCGATGTGATTTTCGAATACCATGAGAAGACGAATTCCTTGATAATGATAGCGATTAATGCATACAGTTGAAGATCAACTTCATTTGAACTCGTCAAAGGAGGCAACAGTTCTTCCAATGGCTGTGGGGTTGAAGCACCTCCGCTTTGATTGCCCGCCTGCGAACAAAGAACGCGTCTTATCAATGCAACAGTTGCCTTGTCACTGGTCGCGCTAACCGGCTCATCACGATTGACATTTTTTGATAATCGAGACCGATGTCGAAGCTGAGGAGATGCCTGCAAAATGGACGAGTCTTTGAATGCGACTGGCTTGGAGCTGGAAGTAGTAGGCACGGCCTTGAGATGTGAAAGCGGAGTAAGACCCGGCTGAACAGATTCGCTGGTCATTTCATCCCAGTAATAACATGAGAACGGCGAAGTTACATTCAAGGTCTCATGGAGAGGTATAGCAGGATAAATTAAAATGGTGCTTTCAGCCTCAGATCGAGACTGCCACCAACAGTTGAAGTGGACATCCGACGATGAACAGCTCATGCAGGTAGAAGCGTAGAAGCTTCTCAGCTCCAATCACAATGACGCGCAGCTCCACATAATGGCACCCCAAATATGGAAAATAGGGCTCAGGGTTATGAGTCGGCGGAGTGATTGCGTTCCTGATAAGACAACAAGGCCCCTTTTATCTGCGGTTCCCCGCACCTTATCAACATTCGCATTTCGCAGTCAAGAAAAACTACGTGGATTTTGAGAGAAGCAAAAGTCCCCTGATCATACTTCATTCTCCTTGCGATTTTCAAGAATGGCACCCTCCCCTGACAGCCCAATTCCTCTATGGTTGGATTGTGATCCTGGTCCGTAAGCTTCATCTATACTTGCCTTGGCTACATCGATGCTGATCAGCTGAATTCAGGACACGATGTAAGTACTGGACGCTGAAACACGACATTCCTATAGGTTGCATGAGAAGTTCTGGCTGAAGACGGAATGTCTCAGGACGCATTCGCTATTCTACTCGCTGCGCATCACCCGTCGTTGCATCTCTTAGGAATTACAACCGTCCACGGCAACTCTTCTCTCGAGAATACGACGACTAACGCTCTAAGAGTCCTCGAAGCTATCGGTCGTCCAGATATTCCTGTCTATGCCGGCAGCAGGAAGCCTTTTTGCCGGCCTGCAGTTCACGCTCCGGACATTCATGGTACGATCCACGACCCCTCCCCTTCTATACTTCCGCCAGCAGAAATACGATGGCTGCAATGAGACAATAAGGGCTAATGTCGTAATATAATACAGGCGACTCTGGACTCGATGGAACTGATTTGTTACCGAAAGCAACGAGCCTTCCTGTGACAGACAAAAACCCAATTGTCGCAATGCGTGATGCTCTCATGGCACAACCAAAGGGAACGGCTTGGGTTATCGCAACCGGCGCCTTGACCAATGTTGGCTTGCTCTTCGCAACGTTTCCCGAAGTAGCGGCCCATATTCAGGGTCTTAGCATCATGGGCGGTGCCGTTGGTGGAGGGTTCACAGATGCTCCCATGAGCCGGCTGCCGGGGGAACATGAGAGAATTGGAAATACGACACCCTGGGCAGAGTTCAATATTTATGTGCGTATATCAACATCGCGTCTGATTTCCTGGTCGTTCTCTAACCTCGTGTTCGGTCAACAGTGTGATCCCGAGGCCTCCAAATCTATTTTCAGCAATCCTACCCTGGCACCGAAGACAACAATGATCGGGTTGGATTTGACTCACCAAGTGCTTGCTTCTTGTAGTGTGCAAAACCGCATACTCCATGGATCCAGCGATTCCACCCAAACACCCTCAGTTCTCAGGAGAATGATGCACGCCCTACTTGTCTTCTTTGCTCAAACCTACGACAGCGTCTTCGGCTTGTCGTCCGGCCCTCCCCTTCACGATCCGCTCGCGGTGGCCGTCGCTATCTCAAATCTCAACCCCACCTTCGCGAAAAAGCACCCCGACCAAGCCTTGAAGTTCAATGACAAGAATGGTGAGCGGTTTGCTGTCGACGTGGTTACCGATGGCATCCATTCAACGAATGTGTTGGAGACTGGACAGCTAGGCCGCACACTAGCTACTCCAATGGGCGGACATGGAGTAGCTATCCCCAGAGGAGTGGACCTGGAGGCCTTTTGGGGTTTGATTTTGGATTGCCTCACGCGCGCCGACGAGTGCAATGCTGCGCGAAAGTCATGATGGTACGTTGCATGATACTAACTGTTATCATTAGACTGTGAATAAGCATATATAGAACCTGGCGATTATTAGACCAGCGTGATAGAAGATTTATTTGAGTACGGGAGGCATATTCTCTCTTGCATCGGCTCACATCATGTATTTCTCATTTCCATTAGTCTATAATTCAATGTACCGCTATTCAAAACAAAGAAGATGAACCGCATGTTCAACCAAAGCGTGCACCCAAGGCCCTCCGATTACCATTCACGAATACCGCCATCAGGACCGAAGAACTCCTTGCACAGCCAGGGTTCCGACTTCAGCGCGACTTGCCGAACAACCTCCTCGTCGACCTCAATGCCCAGCCCCGGAGCCGTCAGGGCATCGACATAACCATCCTTAACCTCGAAGACACTAGGATCCTTCACATAGCTTGTGATGTCATACTCGCCCGCCTCTGTGTTGTAGTGGATTCCCAGGCTCATCTCCTGGATCACAAAGTTGGGCGTAGAGAGATCAACCTGCATGCACGCCGCCAAGGCAATCGGACCCAGCGGACAATGAGGCGCAATGGCAACATCATACGTCTCCGCCATGGAGGCAATGCGCCGCAGCTCCGAAATCCCACCGCAATGGCTGATATCCGGCTGGAGGATGTCGACGCTTGCGTCCTCGAGGAACCGCTTCACGTCCCAACGGTTGTAGAGCCGCTCGCCTAGCGCGATAGGGCACGAGACCTGATCAGCGAGCTGCTTGATGCCCTCCGGGTGCTCGGAGAGGAGGGGTTCCTCGAGGAACAGCGGCCGGTGAGGTTCGAGGGCCTTGGCGAGCTGTTTCGCCATGGGCTTGTGCAGTCGGCCGTGGAAGTCGAGGGCGGCGTCGAGACCCAGCGCCTTGACGGCCTTGAGGCGCTCGACGCATGAGTCGAGCACACTGGGCGAATCCAGCCAGTTGATGTCTTCTGTAGCGTTCATCTTGATCGCTTTGAACCCCTGCGCTAGTCGTGCTTTGCCCGCGGCTTCGACGTCGCCTGGACGGTCTCCGCCGATCCAGGCGTAGACGGAGAGCTTGTTCCTGACTTTTCCTCCAAGGAGCTGATGGACGGGGACGCCGAGCCGGCGGCCCTTGAGATCCCAGAGTGCAATGTCAATGCCGGAGATGGCGGACATGAAGACCGGCCCTCCGCGGTAGAATCCGAGTCGCCAGGCCATTTGCCAGATGTGTTCGATATCACTGCAGTCAAAAACGTCAGCCAGTCAGTAGATGAGGCTGTGACGGACAGTAGTCTGAGCGCATACTCTGCTTCATAGCCCTGGAATCTCTTGCACAATGCATTAAGCGTCCCTTCCACAGCTTCGGTATGACCTTCAAGCGTACTCTCACCCCAGCCATATTGGCCCTCTTCGTCAACAATCTTGACGAACAGCCATCTGGGAAGGACACGGAAATATTCAATGCTCTTGATCTTGACCATGGTGTCGACTTCTGCAGGAAATTGCGGGGAGAGTTTGGGATAAGGAGCTGCTCGCTTCCTCAATGATTAAACGAAGATGCGGCCTTGCTGGAAGACAAAATGAGAGCGGACAGGAGTAGATACAAATGATCGATCAGCTGTAGCGAGAAATTCAATAATGTAAAAGAGCTTCATGGGACCATTACCCCCCATTCTCCGCTGGACGTGGGGGTGGGGGATGAAGTATGTTGGACATCCTCCGCTCTTTGGATACCGATTGCCGACCGTGGGATGATTATATAGGAGCACTTGGCAATCGTTTCAAAAGTCAAACCATTATGAAATCAAGACGGATTGTATTTGGGGGTTAAAACTGTTGTAAAGCAGCCGAAATCCATGGAGTGAAGGGTCATTGGATGCAGGAGTAACTGTCGGAAATATTACCTATCTGGCATGACATCCCTAGAACTTTCCGATGAATATAAGGTAGGTCACTTGACGCCAGTGAATCACCCTTTACAGGCCCAAATTTTCTCATAAGAAAGAAAATATGTTCTGCAGAGACACTGATTATCAATAATAATTTGCTTGGTGGTCCTGATCACTATGATTCCTTTCATGGCAGCAGATGAGATCCCCACATAGCGATCAGGCACTCATCAAGTACTGGGGACAGCATCCAAAGGCCACGATTTAGACATGCGTTGGGGATTCAAGTGTTAGAGCATGATTATTGCATTTTAGAGAAGACTCAGTAGCCATCAGTAGGGTTGAAGATTGATGGATCGTCGTAGAAGTTATCTCTGGAATCGATGATTTCTATCCTCCAGTACTTTGCTACAAACCAGCAACAACGTCAACAACCAGGTTACTGGCAACAATCATCCAATCAGGCATTCCTGCATATTTCGTCATTTTAGTCTTGGACCATCTGAAGGCTTTCACCTCGAATAGTACGCAACTGCTAATCGCTACTTGGAGTCCTGATGGAAACCGTCGGCTGAGGGGAAATCCGAAAAGGGAAAACGAGGCAAAATACGGAGATTTCCTGATCGCCTTCACATCAGTCCCAGTCATTCGTTCCTCTATCTCTCGATCCCCTCGTTATCCAGCGTCCATTTAATTCATCGCAATCTATCACTATCTGAAAGCACCTCTTCCTCACTCTAAACTGCCAATCATTCCAACCGTAAAGAGAGGCTCGCATGCCTCGTCCACCTCATCGTCCTTCCAATCGTCCTCGTCGTCCTCCGTCTCCCCGTTCCAGTCTTTGTGCGCAACCCATAGGTCAACGGCGGGTTTGTCAACCTCCACAGGGCTGATCTAGAGGACCATGCCCCCAGAAAATACTCCCTCGGTACGTGCCTGCGTTTGTCCGTAACTCTATCAGAGGGTCCATATCCTGTGCCTCATCTGCCTATGACATATTGCTCCGATCCTCAACTCCACTATACTGCACGTGGCACGATTCCATGTCCTGGCCTTCGTTCCTGGGCTGCTTTGCTTAGTTTTGACATTTTGCGCCTTCTTTTCGTCGCTGTGCTCATTGATCTGCGTTCTCGGACAGCAAGGAAACTCTGCTCGATCTCCTCCGCCTGCATTCGCATCATCTCTCCAGCAGCTGAGCGCTGTCTCAACCCCTGTCCTCACTCTCCCAGCGGCCGCCTCGCATGATGCTCATGATGACAACGTGATCTTCCTTCGATCTCGAGTCCGCTCTCCTCACGGCTCTTCTTCCTCAAGTCGACAACGTCGTCGACGGCATCAAATACTATCCGAGTTCGAGTCTGATCCGATGGAATTGGACGAGTCGACTGGAGTGCGTATGTCCGTGGAAATCAGTCGCCATCCCATAGTGCGTCGGCCACGAGAGGAACCGACGAATATGCCGAACTATGAAGGTCGTGTCTCCAACATACGGTCGCTGTACGGCTGGGCCCCAGGCTCCGACGAGGATGACGAGGATGATTTGGTTTACGAACCTCTGCAGGATCCCAACAGTGTCTCCTCTTGGTTTGGCAGACTCTCGGATCGCAATGCGACGTCGAGGCGCCACGTACGACGTGATGCGACCGGACGAAGCCCTCTTCCACTCCCCGTTGAGCCTTTAGAGAGTAGTAGACACCGGATGGACGACACAACTCTCGCCACGGCCGAAGCTCTGTTGCAGTCGGTCAGACGCCAGCCGCGCCTTTCGAGGACGCGGACATTACACCACTATTTTTTGGACCGGGAGCGTACCAGTCAGGATTCAGAAGATGGCAGGGAACGAGCGACGCAGTCACCGACTTCACGCGCATATCGGTTCATACCTAGTAGTCGAGGCGAATCCAACCGGATCTCAACTCACGGCGATGTGCGCGCTCGTGTCAACGCTCATCGGCAGCTGCATATGGATCATCCTCCCAGCCCGCGCTTGAAGGAAATTATTACATATCTCGACCGTTTGCGCTATTCGACCTCCTTTGAAGAAAGTCTTTCATCGGCTGCCGCAGGTGGGTTTGTTCAACTCGATTTCTCCTGGGATGAGGATGATTTCATCCTGGATACTACATTAATTGCACCGCCGCCGCCATGTTCCTGGCTACGTCCAGGTATGGTTTTTAAAGGCTCACAGATGGCAGCATGCACTCCCAGCTCGATTTTCGCGCACCGTGGGCCAACCTCTCATCCGGCCACCGAACCGGTGATCGTCAATGGCAGCGATAATGGTCGCATTAGTGTTTATACGACAAGCGGTCGACGATACCTGGCCAACAATAATATCCCCAACTTTGGAACAGGGAAGGATGAGAATTGGCCGGTCAAAGTCACCATTCACAATATCAACTACCAAGAGATGACGCTTTCAGGTACAATGGAAGCCTACAACATTCCTGATAAGACGTCGCCATCTCACGATGCACATATTGTCACCTTTCTGGAGGGAGAAATTATAGACTTCAACACTCACACTCTTGAGACGAAAAATTTCAAGTCCGACGCTGAAACCGACAGTACCTACTGGCGCGAGCTGCAACCATTCAAGAACTTGACGGACGACGAGATGACAAGGAACCTTGTGAGTAGGAAATGGATTACCGAAGAACTATCCAAACGGTGGATTTTGATGCGATGGAAAGGTGTGTATGATCTTTCACCACCTCTCCAATCTGTTTGTGGTTTGTGCTAATGACGGTACAGAACGCTGTTTCATCACTCCCACCGACGCACGCCAGGGCCTCACCATCTCAGGATTCTACTATATCTCTCTTCGTCGAGATACTGGGCACATTGAAGGTCTCTACTACGACCCGGGAAGCTCACCGTATCAGCAGCTGTCACTGAAGCCAGAGACGGAGAAGATGATTCGTCCTTCATACGACTTCAGGTAGTTTGGAGTCGGGTAGTCGGGTGTGCCCCAGAGACACCTTGCTCCCAACAATTCGCTTTTGATATGCTCTACTTGCTCTTTGGCACTGTCCGTTGGCTTGGGTGATTGTATTTGGCTTTCGCATAGCTCTGGAGTTTTCGCTTTGCTCGGATCTTCGATTTTGGGGACATAATTAGGGTATGAGTACATACA